GGAGCTGGGAGCATGCACACACAGGTGGCTCCATGGGTCCCTGTAAGGGGACGGAGCCACCTGTAGATAGGATCCTGAGAGGCAAAATGTTTCACCGCAGGGATTAAAAGCAGCCACAGAACAAAAAGGGACAGGTGGGGGGGGTCTCCCTCTCTTCATTCATTTTTTATTATTAAGGTTTAATATCACTTTAAATTTTACCATATAAGATTAACTAAGCCTTGATTCAAGGTTGCTAGATCACTGCTAGGCAACCTTGGCATGCCAGACGTCGTGGAACTACAAGTCCCATGAGACACTGCAAAACTGAATGCCACATGCATGACTCCCAGAGGCATAATGGTATTTGTAGTTTCAACACATCTGGCATGCCCAGGTTGATTATTATTAAGGTTTAATATCACTTTAAATTTTACCATATAAGATTAACTAAGCCTTGATTCAAGGTTGCTAGATCACTGCTAGGCAACCTTGGCATGCCAGACGTCGTGGAACTACAAGTCCCATGAGACACTGCAAAACTGAATGCCACATGCATGACTCCCAGAGGCATAATGGTATTTGTAGTTTCAACACATCTGGCATGCCCAGGTTGATTACTCGTGTGCTAGATATTATATAAGATTGTGAATAAGTTACATTTTGCAGCCTATACTATGTATTCAATAAAAATAAAAGGGACCCGGTGCCGATTTATGGACACTCACCTTTCGTGCATTCTGGTGAAAGTATTTTGACACTGCATGATCCTTTACCGGTGGCGTGAGCTTGTCAAGCACTTCCACAGACTCCACAGGACCGCAACAACTGAATATTCTGGATAAATATTTCTAGAAAAATATAGAAACTGCGTGAGACCAAAAATGTTCTGCTCAATCCCTCCCATGACAGGATTAGGGTATGTACAACTCATGTCTCCTTCTCTAAGGGTCCCCACACACCTTACGATTATCGTACGATAATCGCGGGAAATCCCGTGATCGCAAGGTGTGTGGAATCCACACACTTACGGACATGTTCGAAAACCCGCCGAGCATCGTACGATGTTCGGCGGGTTTGTGGCATGTCCGTACGGCATTGTGGTCATCGGAAGCCCGCCCCCTCAGGGGGCGTGGCTTGCGATCATCGCAAGTACGATCTGCCTATGCAACATAGGCAGATCGTACGTTTTTTTAAGTACCTTACAACCATCGCAAGACAGAAGTCTTGCGATGGTTGTAAGGTGTGTGCCCAGCCTTATTCTGGTGAGTGATAGAACTATCCTCATCATGCATCCATCTATGAGCATTATATCTTCAAGGCTAGCTGTAAGATTCAGGCACGTAGGTGATCATATAGGGAGCTGGGTTACTAATGAGAGTGGGAGCAGTAGGGAATCTTAGAAAAGAAAAGCCAGTCCTGTGTTTGAGCACCCAGCACACTACTAGGTTTAGTGAAGATGCGAAGGAGCCAAGCTCAGAGGTGGCAGCCCTACATGTTACTGCCCCCTCCACATCTGGGAAAGGAACACATTTAGTAGGGATGGTGAGGGTAACACCGGAAGGTCTAGACCAGGGGTAGCTAAACTTCAGCTTCCCCAGTTGTGGGGAAAATACAAATCCCATCATGCAGCTAGGACTCATGTCTGTCTGGGTAGCCACACTGCAAGGGTTAACAAAAGTTCTTCCTTAAAGTGTATACATAGGCAAAACGTTTCCTTTAGTTTTGCATAGCGTAGGGAAGAGATAAAACCCTCTGCCAGGTTTTACCATCTGTGTGCCACTGGGAAAAGTTTCCCTTCACTTCCTGTTCCAGACACACAACAGAAAGGGGAATTCCCCTCTTAGCCCTCGTTCACACCTGAACGTTTTGTAGCGCGTTCTACGCTCGACGAACGCTCTACAAAACGCTCAAAAATATAAATCCCATTGTAGTCAATGGTCTCGTTCCCACCTTGGCGTATTTCCGCCCGTCCCTAACGCGCTACAAAACGGCCCACGCCTGAAAAGGTACAGGTACTACTTTGGGCTGTTTTGTTGCGCGTTTCCATTGGGATACAGCCACGGTAAAAAAACGCGCGACAGACGCGCATATGCAATACGTCTAGGTGTGAACGAGACCTTAGGCAGTTGTTCCTGGAACAGGAAAATATCCCCAGAACAAGTATTCCAGTTGAAAGGTTTTCCTTGTCTCTTGTTTTGGGGACAGCGCTGAACTTTTGGATTTCCCTTCACTGTACTTCTCAGTGACAACTGTCATCCTTACAGGGTGTGCATCTCCTCACTGGGGGCACAGACACCATTGAAAAGACGTTTCTTTCCATAACTGAATAAAAGGTGATCTATTCTAGACTGCAAGTTGAAGGAAAGGATTTCCCCGATTATAATATTCTCTGGAATCTTTCCTGTGTCATGCACAACACAGGGGGGACATAGGGAGCCGCATGCATGGTGATATACTTGGTCTAGCCGGGATCATGGATGAGGTGAGTATATCTCTGTTATTTTAGCTCCCTACACATAGCGAACACTTCAAAAGAGAACTATGGAGGTAACCTTTTTATCCCATAGTTCTCTTTAGTGTCACCGGAGGACATATACAAACATCCTCCCATGACCCAAAGCTCAGTGTACAGCTCGCGGTATACTGAGAGTGCCGCAGCCGGGACGGATCCCGACAATACTGTTGAGACCCGCCCAACAGATAGGCAGAGCCAGCTGTGCCCGCCCCCTCCCGGTCCGTTCCTCCACTCAGCGCTGGAGGATCGGAGAGGGGGCAATCCCTGCGGGTAGTGGTGACTGACAGTCACCGGTCTCGGCAGGGAGTTGATCGGGAAGTGAGCGAGCGACGGTATGTGTTCGCTCACTTGCTGATCTATAGAACCGACCTGTGAAAATTTCAAAGTCACACATCGGCTCTAACTATGAGGATGAGTGGAAATCACTCACCTCATAGTTCTCCTTTAACCCCTACAGGGGTAAGGGGGGGGGGTAGCCCCACTGCAAGGGTTAAGATTTTATTTGCTCAGAGTTCCTCCTTACAGTCACAATCAGTTCCTTACCTCTGTGCAGTATGCCGGAATGTTAATGACAAATAAAGTACGATTCTGCACTTGCGTCGTATCCGCTTGGCCCCTAACTTTGTGCTCTCTGGCATACAAGTAGTGCTGAGAACTCTGCTCCGCTGTGAACTTCACCCGAATCCCTGTATGAAACATAAAATGCGTTTAGTGACATCAAACTCATAATATTGCTGAAGGAATTTCCTCCCGGGGTCAGGAGCAATTTATTGAGTACTAAGCACCCCCGTGAGCTGGAGGTATCATCATATGTGTCACCTGCCCCTAGCTGATTGACAGGAGTGTATGTACTATGCTGCAAGTGGCAGATATATTGGGGATGGAACAGACCTGTGCCATTTATGGCCCACGGGCTGTACCTGACCCTTTTGCCTGTGGGCCAGACATGGGCCGATCACCGGCCTGCACTTGTTTATGACTGGCTGACAATGGATATGCCGCCTCCGAGGCCGGTGCATCCACTGTAAGACATAGCTTGTGCAGGTCTTTTCTCCACTATGACAATCTAAGGGCTCGCTCACACTTGGTTCACTGAACTGCATTGATGGTCTGCATTTGTTTTGCAGGGCAAAGCACACATTGCATGTTAGCATGCCCCATGTGCTGTTGTGTACACAATGAAATGAAGTGATAGCTTAATGAAAAACACTGCAATGCGTCATGACAACGCACTGCAGCACGCATACCATACCGGGCGGCTGATGGTGACAATGGACATTCACAGGCTCCATTCACACCTTTGCGCAGTGTTTTGGGATGCTGCGGGGCCTTTAACTCTTAAAGGTACCCCAACACACTTTGCGAAAACGCATGTTTAAGCGCGTGGTGACGACTTTCCATGCCATGTGCCATTTTTGGTGCTCTGAGGAGCCCATTCGTATGAATGAATACGCTGAAACCTGAAATCATACTCGCAGCCAATGAATAGTATGAGAGCAGTTTATCAGAACTGGAGCAGTTGCCCATAGTAACCAATCAGCTTCTCTCTTTCATTTTCAAAGCTTAACTGAACAAACTGAAGAGAGAAGCTGATTGGCTACTATGGGCAACTTCTCCAGTACTGATAACTTCCCCCCTGCATGTCCCGATGTAATGGGGAGCACAGGGTGACCATATAAAGAGACACGTGGGTCATTACCTTTGTACCCAGCAGGGGCCGCGCACTCCTGTTTCGGCATTGCGGCTCTGGAAGTTATATTCTCTCAGAAGTGATGTTCATGGAAGACCATGCAAGCATTCTGCGCCTGCGTGCGCGTCCCCGACACTGGCACGACTACACACTGCGCATGCGCACTTTGTTCTGCTCAGCATGGTTCCGAACATGTGGTTGAGTTGATGGTCACATGACCCAATACAGCCCCTCCTCTGCCACGCCCCCAGGAACGTCACTCAGGCGCTTTAGCTACAGCGAGGAAACCCGCTGCAGCTGCATGAGTGGCCACTAGACGGCGATAATGTCAGAACCAACTCAATAGATATAGATGGGATCTGATTCTTCATTATGTGTGGTGGGGGACTAACGGGCCCAGCACCTCCTACAAACAAAAGGCTCTCAAACCTCCATAAGCTTCAGCTTTCCCCCAGCAGAGCTGTACAGGGCAGGGGAACTACAAGTGGCAGCCAAACTGCTGTCCTGGCTAAAGTGTACTGACACACAGGCTGCACAGCCTCATTGGTTGCTAGGGCACTGTCAGCTGCACAGAACTTATGGCTGCTAGGGGGGGCATTACTTGCTGACAGCACCCTAGCAACCAAGGACACTGTGCAACTGACATTGCTCTAGCAACCCATGACACTTGTGTGGCAGGGAGCACCCTAGCAACCAATGACACTGTGCAGCTGACAGCACATTAGCAACCAAAGGCATTGTGCAACTGGCAGCGCTCTAGCAACCAATGACACTGTGCAAGTGACAGCGCCCTAGCAACCAATAACGTTGTGCAGCGGACTGTGTCCTATCAACCAACGACAGTGTGCAGCTGATAGCATACTAGCAACCTCTCTACATCAACTTAGAGTTGGTCTCAATCCCTTTACCCTATCTACAAACTGGCCGTATTCTTTCTGAATTTGTCGCAGCCATAGGAGCTTATTCCGGAAGTGGCGTGAATAATAGCTACCTATATCTGTCGCATGTTTCAGAACTCTTATGAACCAAGGCTTTCAGGACCAGGGCGCCGGAGGTTTTCCTGAAACATCCTGACAGAAAAGTGTAGTCAACCCTGCCAAGCATGGAGTGGAAAACTCCATGCTTGGCATCTAATTGGGGTAATTTCCCTTCACTTCCTGTCCTGGAGGATCAACAAAAAGTAAGGGGAAATCCCCTGGTTGTCACTCGAAACAGGCGTCCCCATTGCAAAATTCCCCATCTATTCCTGTTCTGGTGACTACCTTAAAATTTTGATTTCTGTCTTGGCGATAATGGTCACCAGTACAAATAGAGAAGAGGAACCTTCCCAGCCAGGACACAGACAGCAATACAAACCCGACTGGAGTTCTAAACCTTCCTTTACTCTATGCCTGCACTCATGACGGGAAGCCAATTTGCCATGCCTGCACCCATTAGGGTTGCCACCTTTTCTTAAAGCGAAACCCGAACACTCTAGCGACACGTGGACATATTTTTTTGGGAGAATGAGTCGCAGCTTATTCATATGTAAAAGGCACCACCCATTAATATGTAAATATCACAGTTGAGACTATTTAGTGGGGGGCCAGTAGCATCTATCTTAATTTTGGTTGCCCCTGTCTACCTGACACCTTGTGTCCGGGTTTCTGCTGCCATGAAACCCGGACACAGCATTCAAAACCCGAACTGTCCAGGTGAATCCTGGACAGGTGGCAACCCTAGCACCCATGACGGGAAGCCAACCTGCCGTGCCTGCACCCATGACGGGAAGCCAAACCTGAAATGTGGCCTTGAAGCCCTATTGCTGCATCTATTTTTACCAGGGATTCTTGCGGCCAGGGTGATATCCCAGGAACACAATTGGGGAAAGAGTTGTCACTAGGGTTGCCACCTGTCCAGGATTCACCCGGACAGTCCGGGTTTTGAATGCTGTGTCCGGGTTTCATGGCAGCAGAAACCCGGACACAAGATGTCAGGCAGACAGAGGCAACCAAAATTAAGATAGGGACTACTGGCCCCCCATTGAAAATAGTCTCAACTGTGATATTTACATATGAATGGGTGGCGCTATTTACATATGTATAAGCCGCGGCTCATTCTCCCCCAAAAATGTCTGCGTGTCGCTAGAGTGTTCGGGTTTCACTTGAAGAAAAGGTGGCAACCCTAGTTGTCACCCCATAACAGGAAGTGCTCCAACAATGACCTTCATGGGAAATTATTCTCTTAATAAAAACTGCACATTAAAAAGTGACAAATTCTTCTGAAATGACGTGACCGTGTTGAGGTTTTATGACATTTTACTGGCTGCTTTTAGATCCTATTGATTAGATTATGCTGAGCGCGTATACTGTCTATAACGCCCGTTGAATCAGGAACAAGGTAGCCGTGCTTTGTAGTGCTATAAAAACTTTTTCTTGGCGAGTCGTAAACTTTTTGCAGACTACTGGAAAGGTAGTCATGTGACTGGTGAGATCAAGGTCGAGTATTTGTATGTATCTGGTGCAAAGTACAGGCAGGCAGTCGAAGTTGCATTCTGAGTTTTGAGGTTACAGAATTGTATCTGTGTCCCAGATAGTTAGAGGAAGACACAGGTAGGTGGGAGGGTTGTAGCAACGAGCAGATAAAAAGAGGAAATCACCATCAACGCTCCGCAGAGCTCCACAGCAATCAGAGATGAAGGTAGGTCCCTCAGAACTGGTACATGGCTATTGCTGCTGATTACAATCCTGACTTTGGACCCGAATACCTTCTGTCCATCTCTCTATCACCATCGCCTCTCATTCCTAACAATCATTTTTTGGATACTTATAAATATGTACAATTTAACTACTGACTGTGTTTTAGATCTGTATAGATACATGTATGTTACCAGTAGAGTTTCTTAAAGGACCAGTCCACTCAAAATTTGAGATTTTAGTTATGAAGCTGAATTGGGTGGGCTGAGTCAGTCCCCGGCTTGGACCCCAACAGTGAGATTTCTGTGCCATAACTTTTGATTCTGTTCATGTGTACCTAGGAGTTTTGACTGATTCAGTTCCTCCTCTTTCATTCTACAAAATGGAAAATATATTTTAAAAATTCAGCAGGGATGGTGGGAGCCCCTCATAATGGGTGCAGCAGGTTGCAGACTTGGGGTGTCAGAGCAGGGGTAGTGAGAGCCCCTCAAAATGGCCACAGTAGGTGTGCAGACCGAGGAACTCAGTGCAGGGGTGGTAGGAGCCCCTCATAATGGCCACAGTAGGTATTCAGACCGAGGAACTCAGTGAAGGGATGGAGGGAGTCCCTCATAATAGGCACACAGGTGTATAGACCCTGGAATTCAGTACATGGGTGATGGGAGCACCTCATAATGGGCACAGCAAGTGTGCAGACTTGGGAACTCAGAACAGTGGTGCCGGGAGTCCTTCATAATGAGTGCAACAGGGATGCAGACTTGGGAACTCAGTCCAGTGATGGTGGGAACCTCATAAACAGGGCAAAGCATTTGTGTAGACCTGGAAACTTAGCACAGGGATGGTGGAAACCCCTTATAATGGGAACAGCAAGTGTGCAGACTTGGGATCTCAGCACTGGGGTGGTGGGAACAGTCATAATGGGCATAGCAGGTGTGTAGACCCTGGAACTCAGCAAAGGGGTGGTGGGAGTCCCTCAAAATGGGCACAACATGTTTGCAGACCTGGGAACTCAGCACAGGGTTGTGGGAGCCCCTCATAATGGGCACAGCAAGTGTGCAGACCTTGGAACTCAGCACGGGTTGGCGGGTGTCCTTCACAATTGGTGCAGCAAGTGTACAGACTCAGCACAGGGATGGAGGGAACCCCTTATATTGGTCACAGCAGGTGTACAGAGCCAGGAACTTAGCATAGGGATGGAGGGAATCCATTATAATGGGTACAGCAGATGTGCAGAGCCGGGAACTCAGCACAGAGATGGTGAGAAGCCCCTGTTTATGGGCATAGGAGATGTGCAGACCCGGAAATTCAGCACAGGGATGGAGGGAATCCCTTATAATGGACACAGCAGAAGTGCAGACTGGGAAACTCAGTGCACGGATGGCAGGAACCCCTCATAATGGGCACAGTAGGCGTGCAGACCCAGGACTCAGCTTGCTAGATGATGAAGCTGTCAGGGAGCGTAATACTCCAGCATCTACCAAACACTAAAATATCAGTGCTCACCTCGGAGGACTTGCCCATTAACAGTTTGTCCTCCATGAAAAATGATTGCTTCCTATCATTAATACAGAAAAGGAAGAGGAGTGATATTGCCCACACGACAACCAGACCAATGTTTGCTGTGATTTTCTAACTTATGCTATGCACACAGATAACTTGACGGCTCTTAAAATGTGATATTTAAAGAACGTTCATTTGTTTATTAAAAAACCTGTAAAATTTTAGTAAAGCATTTCTGACAACAGACTGACTTCTCCAGAAAAATTGATCTGCAGTGCCGGTGTCTTTTTGCTGGTTTCCTCTTTTTATGAATGATCTTGTTTATTTAGAGATCAGGTTCAATAGGAAGGCACATTTCCTGTCCCCGGGCACGTTGTCTTGATATTATCTGGTACCTTCCCATGTGCTTTCTGCAAACAGATATTTTTTTCAGTAGAGATTTTATATTTACTTTTTTAAATCGGTGCCAAGTAGCGCTCAGGGGGAAATCATCCACCAGCTCTCCCGTTAGGGTCTATAGTCAGCTTTCCTGGACTGGAGTTGTATATGTTTTTTTTAGTGTGCAAACCATTTGCAAGCTTCAATCAGGTTACTTGTCTTGCATCTAATTTGTCCCTAGTATGTGTGTGTGTTTGCATATGAGATAGAGACCATAGATTGAAAGCTCTTTGGGGGGGCGGAGGGGAGGCAGTGACTGATGTGAATACACAGCATGTAAAGTGCTACATTAATGAATGGCACTATATAAATACTTGAAATAAATAAAGAAATACATCTGCCTTTAGAGTTTCAAAGAGCCTGCTTGAAGCTTGCCTAATGGTTTGCAAAGAGTTCAGCTTAAAAAAACCATCAGAGATTATTATTATTAATAATA